CCATTTTGTCATGTTACAACCAAAACGTAAATGTATTTTATTGGGATTTTATGTGATAGACCAACACAAAGTGACACATAATTGTAAAGTGGAAGGAAAATGATAAATGGTTTTCAACATTGTTTACAAATAAATATCTGAAAAGTGTGGGGTGCAGATGTATACAGCCAGCCCCCCGAGTCAATACTTTGTAGAACCACCTTTCGCTGCAATTACAGCTGCAAGTCTTTTTGGGATGTCTCTACCAGCATTGCATATCTAGAGAGTGACATTTTTGCCCATTATTCTTTGCAAAATAGCTCAAGCTCTGTCAGATTGGATAGGGAGCGTCTGTGAACAGCAATTTTCAATTCTTGCCGCAGATTCTCAATCGGATTTAGGTCTGGACTTTGACTTGGCCATTCTAACACATGAATATGCTTTGATCTAAACCATTCCACTGCAGCTCTGGCTGTATGTTTCGGGTCGTTTACCTGCTGGAAGGTGAACCTCCATCCCAATCTCAAGTCTTTTGCAGACTCTAACAGGTTTTCTTCTAAGATTGCCCTGTATTTGGATCCATCCATCTTCCCATCAACTCTGACCAGCTTCCCTGTAACTGCTGAAGAAAAGCAACCCCACAACATGATGCTGTCACCACCATGTTTCACGGTGGGGATGGTGTGTTCAGTGTTAGTTTTCAGCCACAGATAGCGTTTTGCTTTTCAGCCAAAATGTTCAATTTTGGTCTCATCTGACCAGAGCACCTTCTTCCACATGTTTGCTGTGTACCCCACATGGCTTCTCGCAAACTGCAAATGGGACTTCTTATGGATTTCTTTCAAAATGGCTCTCTCCTTGCCACTTTCTGGCTTTCTTCTTGGCCAGATTTGTGGAGTGTACAACTAATAGTTCTCCTGTGGACAGATTCTCCCACCTGAGCTGTGGATCTCTGCAGCTTCTCCAGAGTTACTATGGGCCTCTTGGCTGCTTCTCTGATTAAAGTGTTACTAAACTCATAACAGAAAATCAGTCTATATATGCAGTAAAGCATGCTTGGTATACTCACTGTGAAACCTAAGGGGTTAGTCCTCTGCATTTTGTAAAAACATGGTTTGATCCTGACTTATCTGATCCTCCCCTTCTTCCAGTGTCCCCCTCTTATCTCCTGATAAGACATATTGTGTGGAGACACTCTGCATATGCTCAGTTTGGTGTGTACTGCTAGAAAGGGGTATTTTGTTCTTGGGAGAGTGCATGTGATCAGCACAGGGCCAATTAGCATTGTCCAGACAGAGGTCAGGGGTTCTGCATCCTCCTAGAACAAAATTAAAATTCTTCCTACAAGCTTTAATATATACTCGGCTGGACACTGATAGAAGTCACAAGACTGCTCTAATTGCTGATGAGAAAAGGTATTTAGCAGCTTATATTTACTAAAGTAATTGCATTTCCATGTTCTGTGTACTGTGGGAAACCAGATATAGTGAATGCAGGGTCTTGGGTTTAGTAACACTTTAATGCTCTCCTTGCCCGGCCTGTCAGTTTAGGAGGATGGCCATGTCTTGGTAGGTTTGCAGTTGTGCCATACTCCTATTTTCAGATGATGGATTGAACTGTGCTCCGTGAGATGTTCAAAGCTTGGGATATTTTTTTTTCTAACCTAACCCTGCTTTAAACTTTTCCACAACTTTATCCCTGACCTGTCTGGTGTGTTCCTTGGCCTTCATGATGCTGTTTGTTCACTAATGTTATCTAAGAAAGCTCTGAGAGCTTCACAGAACAGCTGTATTTATACTGAGATTAAATTACACATAGGTAGACTATTTACGAATTAGGTGACTTCTGAAAGCAATTGGTTCCACTAGATTTTAGTTAGGGGTATCAAAGTAAAGGGGGCTGAATACAAATGTATGCCACACTTTTCAGATATTTATTGGTAAAAAAATTTGAAAACCATTTATCCTTTTCCTTCCACTTCACAATTATGTGCCACTTTGTGTTGGTCTATCACATAAAATCCCAATAAAATACATTTACGTTTTTGATTGTAACATGAAAAATGTTTTGAAGGCACTGTATGTTTAAAAAAACATATCATATAGTGTTAGATTATTCTATGTATATGGAAGCAGCCATATTTGCTCATTACATGTGCAGGCTCTGCTTCTTGCTTTGCAGTGATACTCAGTGCTTGTGCTGTGCTATCTTCCTAACAATGCAAGTCTATGGGTTGGCTAAATCAGTGAAAACAAAGCACTCCTTGTGTGGCTGATATCTTATCTCAACAGCTATTAAGCAGTCAGGCAGAATCATTCATGGAGATAATTTAGCATGCCTTCCTAGCTAAACTACAAATCTCTACATGCCATAGAATAACAAAAATTTGGAAATGTGAGGATAAAAATGTGAAAGTCACTGCAATACTAACTTAAAATATGTGGACGCTGGAAATATCCCATGCTTTCTCTTTAAACACACACCTAATTCACAAATTCATCATTCTGGTCTCAATTTTGTCCTAACAGAACAGGCAATAAGCCACTGAACAAAGTTACACAAATGCATATGTTTTGATGACCTTTCTATCTATAAAATGTGTGCCTGAATGTACCCCTCCAGATTAGGGGATCACCAAACTTTTCAGTATGAGAGCCACATATTTTACAAATATTCATTTAATTAAGAAAATCCCCTTTAGAGTCTCCTGTATATCAGAGTCCCCTGCTTATATCGGTGTCCCCATTAGATTAATCTAAACATTAGGATCCCCATTAGATTCACCCCTTATGTCAGGGTCCCCATTAGAGTCCTCTGTTACATCATGCTCCCCATCAGAGTCCCTCCTTACAGTCAAGTCCTCATCATATTCCCCCTTACATCAGAGTTCCTTCCCATCATAGTCTGCCTTGGACCTCAGCCCAGGAAGCTACAGGCCCAGGAGGCTATCCCTACTGTCCTTGATCACGCATATGAGCAGTTGGGAGCCAGATGTGAGTCATCAGGAAATGACAGTTGTTCTTGAAGCCAAAATGGTGGCACTGATGTTTCAAACTCTCTGAGAAGAGAGCTGGACCTCTTATGCTGGAGGTAACTGTTTCTTAAAAGTCAGCAGCTACAGACTTTTTATTTTCACATGCATGGATGAACAATCCATAGTTTAAGCTGTCTAAAGACAATTTTCATCTAACCTGGTTAAATAACCGTATGTCTTTGGGACACTCTCTGACCTCTCCAGATATACACTGACCACCCAGATTGGAATTTCCCAGTAAATTGCTATGGTTTTCCCTCCAAATAAACTGGATCCCAGGATGCTTTCAGCTCTGCAGCCTCCTTTGCAGTTATAAACCCCCTTGGCAGACCCGGGACAGTGGGTGCCACTGGGTAGAGGGGAGGGTGCTTCCTTCTAATGACCCGGAAGCAATGTGTATAACGTCACTTCCAGATTCCGATGTCTCACTTTCATGAGCCAGGCTGGCCAGGGAAGAAACTAATCAAGAGTGATTGACACTCCATTAGCTTTATTGGAAGGCAGGTGAGACATCAGGGGTCTTTTATACCTCTGATGTTTCATTAAATAGAACCTGTCACCATAAAAATCATCATGTTGGGGACTTTTTTTCCCCTAGGTGATGAAAAATAAAGTTTAGTGAAAAAAAAAACAATGTTGAGCCCTCTGGTTAAATAACCTTATGTCTGTGGGCTGAGCTTTCCAGGTATACACTGATCACTCAGATCGGAATTTCCCAGTCAATCGCCATTTCTTCTCCTCCAAATACAGTGGCCCCAAGGATGCTTTCTATTATGCTCCCTCCTTCACAGTTATAAACACTCATTCCCAGCTGATCCATGCGTGCATATTTATGTCAGCATTTTTTGTTGTAAAGATCTTTCAGTGGTATCTATGACACACATACCCTCCTGATCACCAGTATTTGCTAATATAAAAGAAAATACATTCATCTTTAAAAAAAAAAATGTTCTTGTCTGGTATAATCTAAACATAGATTTATGGGAAACAAGTCTCCTACCAACAGCTCTATCCAAGTCTACCTAGATATGCTGGCTATAGAAATCTGGCGATTTTCGACTCGCTGCGTTCAGATAAATATTTGTAAAGCTTAAAAAAAAAGTGTTCTTATAGAAAGGATTCATTTTATATTCTGGTTCCCATGGTACTTGGACCCTTTAAGCAAACATCTAAGAGCAATCTCTGCAAAAAGCTATGACTTGCAGACTTTACAACACTCAAGTTCTTATCATGTGTTTCCAGGACAGTGTTATCGGCAGATGCACTGCATGTGAATTTCCCTCTTCTACTCAGTGCCTTTCCCCCCCCCTTGGCGCTATTTAAAGAACATTGAATGTTAGTCATCAAATGATAAAGAAAAAACCTCAGCATCAATAGATAAACTAAAATACACTATACTGTTGACTTGATTTCAGCAACAATGATGGGCTTTTCTGATGCTGATAGGCTTTCCATGTATTCTAAAATAATATAAAAATCTTATTTGGACTACACAGGGGGAAAACCTTTGTAGAGTGAAAGTTGCAGGCTGCTGTTGCTGATTTCTCCTTCTAAAAATGCTTGTTGTCTGGCTGATGGATGTTCTTCATGATGTTCTAAGTCAGTGACCAGAAACAAGTGATCCGGAGTGTACTTGCTGCATGCATGTTCTAGGTCAGTAACTCTGAAAGTGCAGTAAATAAAAAGGCACATGCGATGGATCACTTGATTTTCTTTTGCAGTCTATGTATTTTTACCCAGGAACAGCCAGGCAACTAATGTTTTCACGAAGTAACGGTATCATAGATATTTCTATCAATTGAGGTGCGTAAATGCCTTAAAGCAATAACGCATAGTAAGTCACAGCAACAAAATTTTAGCTGTTACCAGTTTATAGTTATACACACACTATATTGCCAGAAGTATTGGGACACCCCTCCACACCATTGGATTCAGGTGTTGCAATCACCTCCATGGCCACAAGTGTATACAATCAAGAATCTAGGCATGCAGACATTTGTGAAAGTATAGGTCGCTCTCAGGAGCTCAGTGCATGGTAACGTGATATGTGGTACCGCGATAGGTTGCCACCTGTACAATAAGTACATCGGTGAAATTTCCTAGTTACTAAATATTCCACGGTCAACTCTTAGTGGTATTATAACAAAGTGGAAGCTACTGGGAACAACAGCAACTCAGCCACCAAGTGGTAGGCCACATAAAATGACAGAGCGGGGTCAGTGCATGCTGAAGCACACAGTGCGCAGAAGTTACCAACTGTCTGCAGAGTCAATAGCTAAAGACCTCCAAACTTTGTGTGGCCTTCAGGTTAGCGGCAGAACAATGTGTATGGAATGGGTTTCCATGGCTGAGCAGTGGCATCCAAGCCTTTCATCACCAAGTGCAATGCAAAGCGTCGGATGCAGTGATGTAAAGCACACCGCCACTGGACCCTAGAGCAGTGGAGACGTGTTCTGTGGCGTGATGAATCATGCTTCTCTGTCTGGTAATCCGATGGATGGGTCTGGGTTTGGCGTTGCCAGGAGAACGATACTTGCCTGACTGCATTGTGCCAAGTGTAAAGTTTGGTGGAGGGGGGATTATGGTGTGGGGTTGTTTTTCAGGGGTTGGGCTTGGCCCCTTAGCTCCAGTGAAGGGAACGCTTAAGTCGTCAGCATACCAAGACATTTTAGACAATTCCATGCCCCCAACTTTGTGGGAACAGTTTGGGGATGGCCCCTTCCTGTTCCAACATGACTGCGCACTAGTGCACAAAGCAAGGCCCATAAAGACATGGATGAGCGAGTTTGGGGTGGAGGAACTTGACTGTCCTGACCTCAACTCGAGAGATCGCCTTTGGGATGAATTAGAACAGAGACTGCAAGCCAGGCCTTCTCGTCTGACATCAGTGCCTGACCTCACAAATGCGCTTCTGGAAGAATGGCCAAATATTCCCATAGACACATTCCTAAACCTTGTGGACAGCCTTCCCAGAAGAGTTGAAGCTGTTATAACTGCAAAGGGTGGGCCAAATCAATATTGAACTCTACGGACTAAGACTGGGATGCCATTAAAGTTCACGTGCATGTAAAGGCAGGTGTCCCAATACTTTTGGCAATATAGTGTGTATATATATATATATATATATATATATATATACACACACACACACACACACAGGGGTTGTTCAAAATTATGGGAACACCAGGTACAAGAATGAAATCATTACCTAATATGGTGTTGGACCGCCATTGGCTTCCAAGATGGCCTGAATTCTCCTGGGAATTGAAAAATACTGTATACCAGCTATGTGAATCTGAGCATTATTGTCTTATGGCGCTGTCTTTGGGAAACAACGTCTGAACCATGGGGTGCACATGGTCAGTCAAAATTTGTACATAGTCGCTAACAGTGACTCAAACTTTCAAGGTGATGATGGGGTCTGCAGAATACCAAGATATGGCTGCCCAAATCATGATTGTGCCACTACCACGCTTTACCGTTGTCACAAGGCAGTCCTGGTCGCAAGCCTGGAACGGTGTTCACCACACATAAACATGTCCGGTGGTTAGGAACAATGTGAAACTCGATTCATCAGACCATATTACTGTCTTCTATTGATTGATAGTCCATGATTTATGAGTGTTACACAACTCTCTCCTCTTCTTCTGAGCCTTAATATCGTCACTAATGGTTTGGCAAATTGCAGCAGTTTTTCTTATGGAGTTCTCCGCACAGTTTTTGTGGACATGAGCTTTGAAAGACTGAGATTGAGCTCTGCAGTCACTTTTGCAGCAGTTGTTTTCTTATTCCAGGTCACAATCCTGCTGCACAATGTCCTATTGTCTCTTTTAATCAGTTGACCACGTCGACTGTGCTTATTCTTATCAGATTACTTTTTCCCGAAAACTGTATCTTGCGACACCACAAATAAATTTGCAACTTCAGTCACAGAGGCACCAGCTAAGTGGCACCAACAATTTGCCCTCTTTGAAGCTCAGTAAGCTCTGACATGAATCCGTATTACTATCAGCGCATGCAGTGAATGACGAAAGTAAGGCTTCCCATCTGTTAGCTAGGTGTCTCATCACACAGCGGAAGCAAAAGGGTGTTACATCACTTCTGCTTTCAATGCAAAACAAGTCTACACTTTCACACCTGCAAATCATGTAGTGTTTCCATATTTTTGTCCAACCGTGTGTGTGTGTGTGTGTGTAATAGAGGGAGTGAGAGAAAGAGAAAAAAGAGAGAGAGATAGAGGCATATGAGAACAACATTTTAAAAACTGGTATTTTATTGTACAAAAAAAAAAAAGTTTCAATAAAGGTGAGCTGTTTCTCTCCAAAACATTGCTTTTTTTTTTTTTTTTTTTTTTTTTACAATAAAATACTAATTTCTTTAAAAGAGAAGTATGGGAATATATATATTTTTGTAAAATCATACTTACCTAGGTGGATGCAGCATCGATCCGATGGTGTATCTATCCCCTGCTGGCTCTAAGGGTGAGAACTGAGCGGTAAGACACTGCTGATCGCTCAGTTCTCCCTGTCATTCTGAGCAGACAGCGGATTACTGAGAGGCTGAGCCTGGTGCTGGCCCAGACATATGGGTGGATCTCGACTTTAAAGGACTGGCTGAGTGACGTCAGCCGACAGTGGATTTTAGCCCTCTGTCAGCTGAAAACAGGTCACAATAGTGCAGAACGAACTACACTCCTGTGATTCATAGGAGAAGTACAGCCAAATGAGCTTTGGCTGTAATTCTCCTTTAAAGCGGAACTAAAGGGAGGTAAACTATTCCTTCAACCATTCTCTTCCCTTGCCGATGGCGGCATCTTCGGCATTGAGGTCTTTGGCCATCTTCATTGGCAGGCATGGGAAGATGTCACTCTTGCTCATGTACAGAAGCCAGCCATGCCAGCACACAGCAACCAGGCTGGATCTGTAATCTGAGCTGCGCATAGGCAGCTTAGTTTACATCGCTGGAGAAGACAGAGAGCAGGCAGGTAGGTGCCTTTTATTGCAGAAGAGACATTGAATGGTTCTTCTACAATAAAAAGCCTGCCTACTCACTGTTTGCTACAGTCAAACCTTAGTTGGAAATATCCTACGCATTCCTCCTCCCTACTGATCTAGAGTTTGAATTGTAATTGCACTGAGATTCTTTGTATGCATCTGTGTCTCAGCACTTTGGGAATAATATACTATATAATAAATATATATGTATATATTATATACTGTATATACACAATTTTATGTCTTAGTTTGGTTTGTAAAGCTGAAAGGCTTCCTAATATGCACATTAGCTGATTCATCTCTCAGTGTCTGCCCTATTTTAAGATTATTGGAAGTCAGCGGTGGGCATTCTGAGAAGAGGATGGCGTCTAGGACCAGTGGACTCTTGCTTGCACTGAAGGCTCATGTTTGGGGATACTCAGAAGATGAGGATTGTGGTATCCACCTGTATTATTGAATATGGCAACAAACTGAAAAACAGGAATATTGGATGGCAGCTTTGAACCACCCAGCATATAATCCAGGTACCAAAACCTCCATTATGCAAATACTGACTTCAGCTAGGATGATGTCTCGTCAGGCAGCACCCTTCAACACTTCACTATTATTCTGTAAAGTTACTCATTGCACTTCTGGACAAACAGGAAGGTTGGTAGAGGTAGTCCAAAGCACCAACCTCCTAGGACAAGTTGGAATATCCATACTAGATCTGCTGAGGTTTTAAGAGTTCTGGAGGACTGTCTTTAAACAAACGTTGGCTCTAAATTAAAACATTTTCATGGAGGACTCGCTTTACAAGCGTTTAGGCATGTTTACAGGGGTCAGTCACTTGGGAGTCAATTAATTTAATTGGCCAGAATAAATAATTTATTCTGGCCATTGCAATTAAGTGATTCTGAAGCACCAAACGAGCCTAGCGGTAATATGCATTTAGGCGCATTTAGACAAGTTTACAAGTGTCAAGCATTTTTTTCTGCACAAAATCTGCTGCTCCTGGATGCACTGGCAGAGGGTTTTTTTTCCTGCCTCTAAACTCTCATGCCACTAAATGCTGATAAAAGTCTACGTATGTATAGACACACAGGCTAACATGCATGAACGTTTAGAAGCAGGAAAAAAAATGCCTGATGCCCCTAGAAGCAGCTGCAAAAATGTCCTGTGTGCATGAGGCCTAAAACATGACAAAATGCTACAGCTAAAAGGTATTTTTTTTTTTTTTAGGGCTCTTCGTAGCATTAGGATCCCTTTACGTGGTTGAGGTAATATTCAGCAATTTAGGAGTACTTAGTAAAAGAGCAATAAATGTATATTGGACTTTTAGGGTGCCAAAACTTGACATCTGTCTTTAAAATTCAGTAAAAACGGTACTTATATATTTTAAATATATTAAATATATTTAAAAAAACTCCTGGGTTGCAAAACAATACTGTTTTCCACAGCCTAATCAATCCTCTGGAAGGCAACCCTATACCTTAAACATCTACCCATAATGCATACATCACTGCATAACTCAAAATTGTATGTGAATCTGAAGATTAAGCAAATAACATATTAATAGAACAGTAGGTAAGGTTCTTTTAGATTTTAAGTAAGCTACAAAAACGATCCAGAAAGGAAGAAGCTAGTTTTACAGTTCCCCGTCTTATTTACATGGCCATTAGGTATACCCCTCCAGTAACACAGTGCCATGTAAGGTTAACCTACAGTATCAGTTATGACCTACATACTTAGTTAATAATTTAGACCAGAACACAAGTTTAATCTAATTCGTCTTAGTTTAGTGGAGATGTTTTCCACTGTCTGAAATTTCACCACAACACGACACCATCCAATTAATCTCATACTTTTAGCATTCTAATTTCACAATGTGAAAATTATAAATAAAAATATATATATAAATAAATATACTGTATGTGTAATTAATAAATATATAAAAATGATGTAAAACAAATAATAAACAAGTGACCCCAATTCATACAAGTCAGTCCAATGTTACTATTTATTAGCCTTCTGTTGCTAAAAAACAGTGGAAGATAATTGCTGACTGGGTATTATGGTTCACTAAATGTTGCTCTGTGCCTTAAATAAGCCCTATTAAGTCTGACTCACATGCAAGGTTCACTGCAAAATTTCCAAAGAGAACAGAAAAATCATGCAACCTAAATTGCCTTTTGTAGCTCAAAAGACAGACCTCATAGTTTGCTCCTACATTTTGAGGTCACATACGTCTACATCTGACAAGGGGTTAAAATAAGGCAGTGGCCACAGAGACGTGATTACAATGGCGATTTGCTTGATGAAACTGAAACATGGATCTCTATCTTTTCATACACTGCACAATTCCCCAGCTCTCAGTAGTGCTTCGTTACATAACCCATCAACAACACAAAAAAAAACTGCAGCAGGCATTGCAATGTTACGTTGTAACTCCTGCCTGAACGCACCTTGTAACTGGAGTGCTCACAGCACCTTGCTCATCCATTCATGAACCTGCTGTGTGTTTGTGCCAGTGAGGAGCAGGCTTCAAAGTAAACTTGAGCCTTACGTGCAGTGAGTAAGGAATTCATGTTTGCTGCTCAGCCATGAGTCTTGGGGTTACAAAAATATTAATGTGCTCACATGCAGTATATATCCACCTTGAGTATTTACTGTCTTGCACATTCAAGAGCATATACTGTATGTGAAAGGTGACTTTGATCAATGGTAGGCTAATTGGCTCCTGTCTAAATTGGCCCTACTATGTGTATGTATGCATGTGATATATGGACCTTAGATTGTAAGTTCCTTGAGGGCAGCAACTGCGTAAATTGTTGCCACTATATAGATCAGGGGTCTACAAACTATGGCCCTTCAGCTGTTGAAGTACTACAAGTCCCATCATGCCAATATATATATATATATATATATATATATATATATTTTAGGGCAAGTATATATATATATATATTTTGTTTGGTTATGCACGTGGACCTGTTTCATATATATATATATATATATATATATATATATATATATTCTATATAAAGGGTCCCCAAACTATGGCCCTCCAGCTGTTGAAGTACTACAAATCCCAGCATGCCTCTGCGAGTCTTGCCTGTGGCTGTCAGAGTCTTGCACGGTCTCATGGGACTTGCAGTTCCTCAACACTTGGAGGACCATAGTTCGGGGACCCCTGATATAGATTATATATATATATTTTTATATATATATATATATATATATATATATATATATATATATATATGAAATGAAACAAGTCCAAGTGCATAACCAAAACAAGAATATATATGCTTGCCCTAAATATATATATATATATCTTAGATTGCAAGCTCCAAGGAGCAGGCCCCTCCTAACCCTCTTGTATTGAACTGTATTGTTGCTGTATTGTCTCCCGTTATATTGTAAAGCGCTGAGCAAACTGTTGGCGCTATATAAATCCTGCATAATAATAATAACTAGAATACATTGCAGTTCAAACATAAATATTGTGTCCACGCATAAATGAAAGTATTTAAGCACTCGGTTTAACACATCCACTGTGTTCTTGCATAAAGATCAGTGAAAACCAAACATTTTTAAACACAATCCAATTGAAAAATACATGTAACAGAACATAAAACACATGATGTTTATAAACAAGAAGGGACAGCCCCAACACAATACAACCAGTCTTTGATCTTCTAAAGATCGTGAGGACTGTTGGTTTTGTGTGGGCATTACAAAACCAACACAACAGCTTGGAATTGCTCTGCGTACAGTAAACTGAAACCCCATTGGATGCCATGTATATAATATCACTGTCCAAAGCAAAAGAAAAAAAAAAGTGTGCAGTTTGGACCCCTGGATGTATTTTGCCCCCCCCCCCCCCCTTTCTTCCTACAGGGAACTAAAACCTGATTGATTGTTATGTATGCAATACCATTAGCTAAAGTCAAGTGTATTCTTTGCCTAAAACCCCAGGTTCTACCACTGATTATATTTTGGGGGCCCCCTAATTTTTAAACATTAACAGTCTTGAAAATGAATGCTGTAGACATCATCCTGTCTTTGGGGTCCATCACACAATATAAACATCACCCTGGCACACTTGGATGCTGTGCATGTAAAATCACTAGTCAAAGCAAAGTAGGCAAAAAATAATGATGACTATAATAAAATGATAACATTAATATTATTATAGTTGTGATTATTATTAATAATAAATAAATAATAATAAAAATAATAATGCTCAGCCACTTTTTCTAAAGTAAACTAAAAACCTGACTAGTTGCTGCGCATGTAATATCACTATCTTATGAAAAAGCAAAGTATTCAACCTCTGCCTGAAGCTGGCCATACACTATACAATCTGACTGCACAATCTCAGTACAATCTCCTTTAGCTTTACCACAACTATGCAATATGAGGACAAACTTAAACAACCCATTCAACCAGTACCAAATCAGACAGGCCTTTCTACTACACAGCTGATGGTAGATCTAAATGAGATCATGCAGTCAGATTGTGTAGTGTATGGTCAGCCTAAGACCCCAAATATGACCCCTGGATGCATATTGCACCCCTCCCCCCCAAAAAAAAACAAAAGTTAGTCTCAGCTCAGTTAGTCGCTCTTCCTATAGCAAACTAAAACCTGATTGGTTGCTATGTCTATAATGTCTACTAGCTAAAGAGAAAGAAAAGTGTGCAACCTTTGGTTAAGACCCCCGAATCAGACACCTGGATATATATTAATCATCCCCCCCCTCAAATAAAAGTAAGAATTAGTTCTTCCTACAGTAAACTAAAACCAGATTGGTTGCTATGTCTGTAATATTTACTAACTAAAGAGAAAGCAACTTGTACAACCTTTGGCTAAGACCCCCAAATCAGATGCCTGCATCCATTTTGCACCTCCCTCCCAAAAAAGAATAGCTCCGGTAGTGGTTCTTCATACAGTAAAGTAAAACTTGATAGGTTGATATTTATGTAATAGCAACAGATAAAAAAGCAAAGTGTGCCACCTTTGGCCAAGACCCCATGTATGACCCCTGGACATTACACCCCCCCCTAAAAAAAAATAAGTTCAGTTAACCCTTCCTACAGTAAACTGAAACCAGATTGGTTACTATGTCTGTACCATTTACTAAGTAAAGAGAAAGCCTTTGGCTGAGACTTCAAATTAGACCCCTGCATGCATTTTGAACCCCCACCCAAAAAAAAAATAAAACAATAAAATAATCGCATAGTTAGTGGCTCTTCCTAAAGTAAACTACAACCTTACTGGTTGTGTAATTTAACAAAATTCAATGCAAATCACAAAGAAATCGGAAAAAAGCAGTGCAGGAACTATTTTTGAAATTGCATTACATACGCAATCGTACTGATTAAGACAGTGCCATAGAAATACATTAGATGCGACTGCAGGTGTGATTTGTAAATCGCATGTCGCACTTGAAGTTGCGCCGTTGTCAATCAGGGCTCAAAACCTAATTGTTTACTATATCTGGAATATTTACTAACTAAAGAGAGAGCAATGCATGCAACCTATGGGCTAAGACCCCAAATTAGACCCTTGCACTCATGTCCAAAAAAAAGCATAGTTAGTGGTTCTTCCTACAGTAAACTAAAACCTCATTGGTTGTTATTTATGTAATATCAACAGCTAACAAAAAGGAAAGTGTGCCACCTTTGGCTAAGGCCCCATATTAGACCCCTGGATGCATATTGCACCCCAATCTCCATCCCAAAAAATGACTGCTCAACTGCACCCCCCAAAATATAATAGCTAAGTTGCTCTTCCTACAGTGACCTAAAACCGGATTGGTTGCCATGTATCTAATATCAGTAGCTAAAGCCAAGTGTACTCTTTGGCTAAGACCTTGAGTTGGACCAATCGGTGGGGAGCCCCCAATTTATAAGATGTGCAAGTCTTTAAATTGGGTTTTGTAGGCACCATCCTGTCCTTGGGGTCCAATAATACAGATGCCACCCTGGCACCCAATGATACCCTGATTGATACATTGATACAATAATTGATACAATGTATCCCTTGACTAGCAGGACTGAAGACCTCACATCCATGTTCTGCTACAAGAACCCAACAGAGAAGAAGTATGTGTCCCCAGGATCCTGTCCATGGAGCAGAGGGGTGAAGTCTTACTTTGTCCTTCGAATTTCCTGATGATGGTCCCCAGAAAGGTGTTCTGTGGGGCCACATGTCCCCTCCTGACCGGCATTGTTGGAAGTGAAGAGCGCTCAGTTGTCCAAGTCTTCCAGAGAGCTCCTCCGCCAGGATCTCCCGATCTGCTCCTGTCCGATGCCTCCTCATTCAGCAGTCATCCTCCTCCTCCTCCGGCGAAGGATGGAGAAGCCCGGAGATGTGGCAGAAGGGGCTCCTCCTGCAGCATTCAGGTGATGGCAGCCCCCTCCCCGCAGCAGGGAGAGTGTGAGGGTCGCTGTCCTTCCCCTCCTCACCTCCGGAGCCTCCGGCACAGCTTGCGATGTGATGGGAGGAGGAGGAGGGGAGCAGGCTCAGCGCAGCCTCTTTCGGAGGCTCATCTCTCCCTTATTGCTCTTAAAGGACCCGAGTCCTCTCCGTCGGAGGATGCCCCCTCCCCCCCCCCCCCCCCCCTCCCCTGGATACACATGGCATTCCCGGCATACAGAGCTGTCAGCGGGCACCACAGGTCAGAGGGGACACAGAGACAACTGGATCCTCTGATTACTAGGACATGGGAAGCCTAAATGGATGGCATTAGTGTGAATCAGAAACAATTCCCCTTTTATGTATTATATATTAATAGAATAATCCCCCTTTATTTGTTGTATATCAGCACTGCTGCTCTCCTGCAGCCTCCTGCAGTTACTTCCTATCTACATTCTCGTTATTAGGTACACCCAGGGGTGGACTGACCATTTAGAAACTCGGGCACTGCCCGAGGGCCCGTGGTCAGTAGGGGGCCCCATGAGATGCCCCTGGTACCTTTTTCATAGGCTTTTTTGAGTTTGGGCAAGGACACAGGGGCCCCATGATCTCCTATTGCCCGGGGGCCCCATGAGTTGTCAGTCCGCCCCTGGGTACACCTCGACACCTGGTGTGGTCTTCTGCTGCTGTAGCCCATCTGCTTCAAGGTTCAACATGGAATTCCACATACCTTGAGTGGTTATTGAGTTACTGTTGCCTTTCTATCATCTCAGACCAGTCTGCCCATTCTCCTCTGGCCTCTAACATCAACAAGGCATTTACGCGCACACAACTGCCGCTCACTGGATATTTTCTCTTTTTCTGACCATTCTCTGTAAACCGTAGAGATGGTTGTGCATGAAAATCCCAGTAGATTAGCAGTTTTTGTGATCCTCAGACTAGCCTGGCTGGCACCAACAACCATACCACGTTCAAAGTCACTTAAATCCCCTTTCTTCCCCATTCTGATGCTTGGTTTGAACGTCAGCAAGTCATCTTCACCACATCTAGATGCCATGTGATTGGCTGATTAGCAATCTTTGTTGTCAAACAATTGAACCGGTGTACCCAGGGGCGGACTGACCATTTGGAAAGTTGGGCACTGCCCAAGGGCCCGGGGTCAGTAGGGGGCCCCATGAGATGCCCCTGGTACCTTTTTCATAGGCTTTTTTGAGTTTGGGCAAGGACACAGGGGCCCCATGATCCCCTATTGCCTGGGGGCCCCATGAGTTGTCAGTCCGCCCCTGGGTGTACCTAATAAAGTGGCCGGTGAGTGTACATTCCATCAACTGCTGCACGCCATATACAGTGCAGGTGATGCCACACTGATGTCGATTTGTCAGTTTTTCAGATGGATCCAGACGGAACCATGATGTGGGGTGGATTTACTAAAATTTAAGCACTCAGAATCTGGTGCAACTGTGCATGGTAGCCAATCAGCTTCTAACTTCAGCTTGTTCAGTTAAGCTTTGACAATAAAACCCGGAAGCTGATTGGTTTCTATGCAGAACTGCTCCAGATTTTGCACTCTCCAATTTTAGTAAATAACCCCCTGCATGTCTAACTGTGGCCTCGCCTACATCCGAGTCCATTCAGCAGGGCTGCTGTTCGAAACCATGGGTTTTACACATTGCTTCCAGGTCATTAACAGGCAGGGGAGATCAATGAACAGGTGTTCTCTGATCTCCCTCCCTTCTACTGTTAATTCTTATTTACACTTGTGTTTGAGGGACATTAAAAATGTGCGTCTGAGCCACACTTTTACCATCCCCCAACCACTCCCCATTATGCTGCAAAGGCAATGCCACCTTAGTACAGCATTGGGGGATTTTGCACAACCCCCCACAACTATTGCTATACTATGGTGGCAGTGCCTTTGCAGCATAATGGGGAGTGGTTGGGGGATGGTAAAAGTGTGGCCCAGCCACACATTTTTAATGTCCCTCAAACACAAGTGTAAATAAGAACTAAGAGGAAGCATTTCACTGTGCTTATGTGATCGTCCTCATTATCATGGTGATGATGACACAGTACAGAATGTGCTGAATATCTGTCTGTATACAGTGCATGGCTGTCTGTGGCTCAGAAAACAGAAATTGTGAGCTTGCCTGTGCACCAGGATCCCATTGCCGCCTGTGCCCTCAGCCATCTCTCTGCTGAATCACCTCCCGCCGTTGGACTTCAGCCTTGCCTTCCACCCACATCAGTGGAGAAAGCAATATTCATTACGCCAGTGGCTAAATGGTCAGCACTTCCGCCTGGCAGTACAAGGGTCGTTGGTTCAAATCCCAGCCACAACACCTCCTGCCTGGAGTTTGCATGTTCTCCCTGTGCCTGTGTGGGTTTCCTCTGGGTACTCCAGTTTCTTCCCACACTCCAAAGACATGCTGGTGGGTGAATTGGATCCTGTCTAAATTGGCCCTAGTATGTGTATGTATGAATGTAAGCTAGGGACCTTAGATTGTAGGCCCCTTGAGGGTTAGGGACTGATGTGAATGTATAATATGTGTGTAAATTGACAGTGTTATATAAGTGTCTGAAATAAATCTTTGTGCATTAATTATTTATTTATGTATTATTATTATTATTAGTTATTTATTTAGCTCTGCACTTTATACCACATTGTTATAAGGAGTTGTTACCTTTATTGTTGTGCATTAATTATTTATTTATGTATTTATTACTATTATTAATATTAATTATTTATTTAGCTCTGCACTTTATACCACTTTTTTTATAAGGGGTTGTTACCTTTATCTTTGTGCATTATTTATTTATGTGTTTATTATTAATTATTTATTTAGCGCTGCACTTTATACCACCTGAAAAATAACAAGGTCAACAAGTAGCAAAACTAAGTTATGGGATGGCAGACGGAACAAACCTCCAGACATAAACTTACAATACAACCATCTTGGCTGATTAATGGCTGCGGCCTTGTTTATTGGTTTTCACAGCTTTAACAAATCATAGATATAACTTTTATTTCAAAACCGTCAGTATTTGAGCTGACATAACCACATCAGCCCAGTCAGTAAGGCTCAAGCTGTAATCCATTTAACCTGTTTTTTAATTAATCATTTTTTTACCAGTCCCCTTTCAAAGATATTTAGAAGCGACTCACCACATAAACTGGCCGCAATGAGGGGGTGCTCCAAATTCCGCTGGCGACTGGCCCAGAGCCTATAATGTCCCTTCTTTTTATGGGGTTCTTGGGGCTTCTAGAATGTTCTGGGGGAGTCAGGTGACCTTTTTGACCAATCCTGATGGAACCTCCCCAGAACTTCTAGAAACTTCCCAGTCAGCTGGTCCCTTTTTGACCAATCAGCTTTCCCACTTATTTTAAACTCTGAGGGGAACTAGAAACCTATCCGCCATCATCCCATGAGGAAAACTTCTCAGCTTTTCCCCCCTTTTCTTAACATGGGGGGGGGGACTTAGCAAAACAAAACAAAGACTGCTTTGCTAATTCTAGTGACAGACTGTGTCATATGTGCCATTTTTCTTATTTCTTATTTCTTTGCCATTTGTTTTTTTGTACCAGTTTAAAACCACTTCCCGTCCATCCTATGTACATAAACGGTCGGACGGGAGCAGTGCGGAAGCGGGTGGCCTTTTATAAATGACCCCCCGCTGTGTCGGAGCGCTGTACGGGACCTCTGTGTGAGGTCCCGATCATGTGATCACTGATTGGCCAATCAATGATCACATGGACAGTAGTAAACAAGATGTCACTTCCTGACATCATTGCTTACTACTTGTGAAATCTGTGAATGATCACAGAGGTCACATGGTACAAGGCTATTCACAACAGCCTTGTACCATGTGACAAGCTGTGACCAATCACAGCTCGCATAGTATTTCTCAATGGCTGCAAGAATGCAGACAGAGAGAAGGAGAAATTATTGCTTTTCTAGCCTTTATGGGTGTAAAAGCAATGTAAAAAAAAAAAAAAAAAAAAAAACCTTCATCACCCCCCACAAGTAGTACAGTGTCACTATGGTGACACTGTACTGCAAGGGTGATGGTATGTTATAAAAAAAAACATAAATAATAATGTAAAAAAAAAAATTTTGAAAAATTATAATTTTTAGTTATAAACTACTTTGGGTATTTTTTTTTTTACTAAAAAGATAGCTGAATAAATGTGTCCACTATTTATGAAGAAAGATTATTTGCAAAATTTTCAAAATGTTTGGACTTTTTCCATTATATAGGAATAAAATAAAAATCTCAGTGGTGAATAAATACCACCAAAATAAAGTTTTATCTGTAGCAAGTTCAAGTCGTGTTTTACTATACTGTATATCAGGCCTTGAACTTTCCACTCGCTTGCTTGCCAATGGCGAGTGGGAATTATAGTGGGCGCGAGTGTGTCCCCCAGGGCCGTCTTGCTCAGCAGGCTCGGAGCTCAGGCCGGATCTGTCATTGGCACTGGGAGCCGTCAGACTGCTCAATAGCTGAGCGCAGTGAAAGCAAAGGAAAGAGTGTGTGCTGTGCTCTCTGCCTCCCCCTAGAGTGCAGTACCCGACTCTGTGAGTGAACAAAGAAGTACTGCAACTTTTTAGAGGGGTGTGTGTGTTTCTGTGTGTCTGTGTATGCATGTACATGTGTCTGCGTGTATATACATGTATGTGTGTGTGTACATGTGTGTGTGTGCATGTACATGTGTGTGTGTATGCACGTACATGTGTCTGTGTGTACGTGTGTCTGTGTATGTATGTACATGTGTCTGTTTATGTATGTACATGTTTCTGTATGTATGTACATGTATCTGTGCGTGTGTATTTCTGTGTATGTACATGTATCTGTGCGTGTGTATTTCTGTGTATGTACATGTATCTGTGTGTATGCGTGTCTGTGCGTGCCTGTGTGTGTATACATGTGTCTGTATCTGTGTGCGTGTACATGTGTCTCTGTGCGTGTGTGTACCTGTTTCTGTGTGTGTGTATGTGTATGTACATGTCTGTGTGTGCAGGTGTCTCTGTTTGTGTGTGTTTGTTGGTGGCGAGTAATTCTTAAGGCCTGGCTAGTAGCTCAGGACTTGAAATTTTAAGCCCTGACACCTTTAGGCCCCTTTCACACGGGCGGTTAGATTTCAGCTTTTAGCTGCGGTTAGAGGAACTTATTTACTGCAGCTAAATGCAGACAATGCATCTCTATGACTCCATTCACACACTGTGTTTAGCAACATTTTCATAACATACGGTTTTATGCGTTTAGGAAAAATAAAGTTGACAGCGTCGAGGAGCAGCTATCTGTACATAAATGCAGTTAATCGCAGTACAAAGAAAAAATAAGTAAACAGTTGCTATAGATAAAGGTAAGAATTTACTAACGCAGCTAAACACAGATGCATGTAAACGCACGCAATCGCAGATCAAAACACAATGAACAAATGCAACTGATCTCTGTGCCAGGAGTGTTGGAATTTCAAAATACCCGCCCGTGTGAAAGAGGCCTTCTTAGCATGCACAAAACAGAACGATTATGTAACATGACATCCAGGACTTTATAAACTGCACAGTCACCATTTGTATACTGCTTATACAGTATATTACTAAGGATCATATGGAGAACGTCACCCTATATTTTTTTATCTTCGGAACATGTAGATGTATGTATTGCACACGTAAGCATCATGTGTACATGTATGACAAACACATCAAGCTACACATTGGCACTTTAAATCTGCAGCGCTCTGTATTTACGTGTGAACTCCTCACTGCAACGTTTGAATTGCAAGAGTTGAAATCTGCTTTATTGATTTTAAATAATCAACTCAACCCTGAAACTACAGAGTATTCGACCATTACACATGGCCTGACCCTGTGTAAACTCCAATGGCCACACTCCTCTGAAAAGTCCAGCGGACACTCTTCAGCTGAAATGTCACATTATAAGTAGAAGAAATGGATCCGATCCATTAGGCATGGAGGGTCGTAGGTCATGATATTCACAGCGATCTGATTGTTTGAACACATAAAGCTGTAAACAAATCCTTCAATACACACACACATGGCATTTCGGGACACTTTGAACATGGGCTTCGTTCGATCGGATCCTGATGGATTCTTTTATCTGCAAGCTGATATGATCTTGCAAGGCTCCAAACACATGGGCCTTAAAGTGTTACTAAACCCACAACAGTAAAATCAGTCTGTATATGCAGTAAACGATGCTTGTTATACTCACAGTGGGACCTAAGGGTTTAATCTTCTTCATTGTGTAAACAGGCTGTTTGGTCCTGTCTTCTCTGTTCTTCCCCTTTTTCAAGCAACCACCACTTATCTCCAGACTTAACCGTAGGCATGCACATGCTCAGTTTGGTGTGCATTGCTAGAGAGGTTTTTTTTTTCTTGGGAGAGTGCATGTGATCAGCATAGGGCCAATCAGCACTGTCCAGACAGAGGTCGGTGGTTCTGCATCCTCCTAGAGCAGAAAGAAAACTCCAACAAGCTTTAGCTAGTGCTGGGCTGGACAAAGATAGAAGTCACAAGACTGCTCTAACTGCTGATGAGAAAAGGTATTTAGCAGTTTATAATTACTAAAATAATTGCATTTCTATATTGTGTGTACTGTGGGGGACAAGATATAGTGAATGCAGGGTCCTGGGTTTAGTAACACTTAAATTGAAATAAAAGGCAAAACATTTGTGTATAGATATAAAAAATAATTATAAATACCTTTTTCCTCCCTTTTTTATAAGTGATTACCTACCCTCTCTGCTCAGCTGCATAGAGAGCTGGGGGAAGAGAAACAGCAGCACAGTGTTCTTCCCAGTGAATGGTTGTGTAGAGGGAAGAGGCATGTCGACAGAAGTCTGATGACTGGAAGAGAATAGACTGAGTTCCCAGCACAGCTAGAGGAATGACCATACTGTGCTCTCATGCCTAGTGTGGTCAGTTTTTAAATAGAAAATCAGAGAAACTGGAAGGAACACCAGAAATTTCACACAAAGGAAGCAATACAAAGAGAACAGGATCCTTTTTCATACAAGTACATGGTACAACAGGCACATATCAGAAATATGAAATGTTGGGTTTACATATTCTTTAATACTGTGCAATTCTCGGGCCTGCAAATCACTTTCCTGGATTTGGGTCGGAAATGGCTACATACACACTACTGCTGAGGAGTGAAGCAGCCCAAAAGTGGATGCTATTACAGAAAATGTAAAAAGACGGGTACTGGGTGCACCCTTCTGTACAGACTCTTTTTTTAAGACCAGCTGTTAGGAGTGTGGGAGAACAGCCATGCAAGTGCACCGTGCAAACTCCATGCAGATACTACCCTCACTGGGATTCAAGCCAAAGACCCCAGTACTGCAAAACGGAAGTCACTGCCATTAAGCCACTGTGCTGCCTCTTCAGCTTGAGAAAGGACATGATTAACCGAAACTATTGTGCTTTTTGTAATCTGTATCTCTGATTTACTAAATCTTTTATATGTGTACTGATTTATACCCCGGTCACATCAAGCCCGACTTTGAAATTATGCGACTTACAGTGAAGGCGCACACAGGGGCGGACTGACCATTTAGAAACTCGGGCACTGCCTGAGGGCTCAGGGTCAGTAAGGGGCCCCATGAGATGCCCCTGGTACCTTTTTCATAGGCTTTTTTGAGTTTGGGCAAGGACACAGGGGCCCCATGATCTCCTATTGCCCGGGGGCCCCATGAGTTGTCAGTCCGCCCCTGGTCACACAATGTACATGTACTACTTTAAAAATCGGTGCCAACCATGTCGGAACCGCACCAATTTGACCGCTGTAATTGCTGACAATAGGGTGCGACTTGGCATAGATTTGAAAGTCGCATGGCATGCCACATGCCAACTAGCATCCAGTGCGACCGCGGTGTTATACTATTTCATAGTATCATTAATTGGCTTATTGCAGTTCTAAGAATATATATTATGTAGTTTATTTTTCTTAGGAAAATAAGTAAATTGTACGCAAATGCTAAAAATGAATTTCTTTTAATTGTGGCCATTTAAGTGAGTCTGATGATCCTGACAGAAATCCAGCCTGCTAGCAACTCCCAGTACACCCTGCCCCTGCTGCACTCTTATTAGTCAGCAGTGTTAGGCAGCCCATAGACGATGCAAAAACCAAACGTTCCATCAATTGAAAAACGAAAATAGGTTGCATGATTGTGTCATCATTTGTCTTTTTTTTCTAAAAACAAATCCAGCATGTTGGATTGGACACTTTTGATTGTGGAACACAAATTGCATACCGCAGCTAGAACACTACAGATGCGAAAAATGAACGATTCAAATTCTTCATTCGGTTTTCGACTATGGCCGGCTTTAGTCCTGCCCAGCTCTCTCTGTGGTCTACAACTCCCCCCCCCCCTCCCATCATGATATGGAGATAAGGAGGGGTGGTATTCTGTAGTCCTAACAAGCTTCTGGCAGGTCACCTGGAAATAAAGAAAAAAAAAAAAGAAAACTAATGCAGCCACCTTGTCTAAGGACTAGTAAGCAGCAATATATTCAATTTCTGTTCTTGAGTTCATACACAGTACATTTTTAGATCCACTTGCCTATAGGCTTGCTTACTAAACCTTTTGAATGAATTCATGAAATTATGAAAACACCTAGACAGAGGGATTAGATGAGAACATATCCCATGGGGCGTGGAGACACCATCATCGCTGTCCTACCTGTTTTAAATAGCATTCATAACACTCTATTCTTATGCTGTATTTTCCCCCAACATGTTCTGAGTATCAATCTACTCACCTATGTAATGATGACTGCGGTGCACACATGGCATATACACACAGGAACCACTGACATGGCAGCCTTGGTTAACTCTTGAAAGTCATATCACACTGGTTAGCTCACCTTTACTGCCAGCCACATAAATCATGTATGATTACCTTGCAACATCATGTAATGCTGGTCAACTGAAAACAAAAGACAATGAAATAATGCCTATAACTGCAGATGGATCAGTAAAGGTACGCGGTAACTAAATCATATACCATATCAATAAGCTCATATTCATAGTTCTATCTACTGACAACAACAATCTTACCTAGGTATTAAAAAAGAACTTACAAAGGTACAGATAACATCTAAATCAGTTCCATAAAACCAGGGGATACAATAAAATAAATAATATAAAGCCACAGATGTGGGACATTGATGCAGTAAAGGCTTCTTTCTGGCACCTTGATCATTCCGTTCATTTTTGTTCAAGTGTCATCCAGGGGCGGACTGACCATTCGAGCACTCGGGTACTGCCCCGAGGGCCCGGGGTCAGTAGGGGGCAGTGGTACCTTTTATAGGCTTTTTTGGGTGTGTTTTGAGTGTGGGCAAGGACACAGGGGCCCCATGATGCCCTATTGCCCGGGGCCTCATGAGTTGTCAGTCCGCCCCTGGTGTCATCATATTGTGCTCCTTCAAAACAACCACACTGTCTTTTTCCAGAGCAGCCTGTATTTTTCTTGTGGTTACCTATGGGTTTCCCTTTGTATCCCGAACAATTCTTCTGGCAGTTGTGGCTGCAATCTTTCTTGGTCTACCTGACCTTGGCTTGGTATCAAGAGATCCCCAAACTTTCCACTTCTTAATAGGTGATTTAACAGTACTGATTGGCATATTCAAGGCTTTTGGACAACTTTTTATGTCCTTTTCTATCTTTATAAAGTTCCAGTACCTTGTTACGCAGGACTTTTCACAGTTATTTTCTGATCCCCATGGTTCAGTATGTAGCCTAGTCAGTGCTTCCACATAAGAGCTAACAAACTCAGTGACTATTTATACACTGACACTAATTTCAATTTAAAAAGCCACAGATGTGGGACATTAACCTCTAATTGGCATTTTAACCCGTGTGTGTCACCTTGTGTGTCTGTACCAAGGCCAAACATTCCAGGGTATATAAACTTTTGATCAGGGCCATTTGGGTGATTTCTGTTATCATTATGATTTAAAAAGGAGCCAAACAACTATTTGATAATAAATGGCTTCATATGATCATCATCCTTCAATAAA